GAGAAATCAAGACACTGTAAAACAAATCCAAAAGAATGAAAAATTAGAAAACAATGTGAAATATCTCATTGGAAAAACAACTGACCTGGAAAATAGATCCAGGAGAGAGAATTTAAAAATTATTGGACTATCTGAAAGCCATGATCAAAAAAAGAGCCTAGACATCATCTTTCAAGAAATTATCAAGGAAAACTGCCCTGATATAGAGAACCAGAGGGCAAAATAGAAATTGAAAGAATCCACAGATCTCCTCCTGAAAGAGATCCCCAAAGGAAAACTCCTAGGAATATTATAGCCAAATTCCAGAGTTCCCAGGTCAAGGAGAAAATATTACAAGCTGCCAGAAGGAAACAATTCAAGTACTGTGGAAACACAATCAGGATAACACAAGATTTAGCAGCTTCTACATTAAAGGACCACAGGGCATGGAATATAATATTCCGGAGGGCAAAGGAGATAGGATTACAACCAAGAATCACCTACCCAGCAAAACTGAGTATAATCCTTCAGGGGAAAAAATGGTCATTCAGTGAAATAGAGGACTTTCAAGCATTTGATGAAAAGACCAGAGCTGAATAGAAAATTTGACTTTCAAATACAGGACTCAGTGGAACATGAAGAGGTAAACAGGAAAGAGAAATCATAAGAGACTTATTAAGATTGAACTGTTTACATTCCTGCATGGAAAGATGATATTTATAACTCATGAGACCTTTGTCAGTATTAGGGTAGTTGAGGAAAAAAATTATATGTATGTATATGTAGATAGATAGATAGAGCACAGGGTGAGTTGAAGATTAAGGGGTCATATCTGGAGAATAAAATTAAGGGATGAGAGAATTATACTGGAGAAGAAGAAAGGGAGAGGTAGAATGGGGTAAATTATCTCACAAAAAAAAAACAAAAAGAAAAGTCTCTTACAGTGGAGGGGAAAGGGGAAGGTGAGAGGGAATGAGTGAATCTTATTCTCATAGGATTTGGCTTAAGGAGGAATAACATACACATTCAATTGGGTATGGAAATCTGTCTTACCCTACAGGAAAATAGGGGGAGAAGGGGACAAGAGAGCAGGGGATGATAGAGAGGAGGGCAGATTGGGAAAGGGGTAATCAGAAGTAAATACTTCTGAGGAGGGACAGGGTCAAAAGAAAGAATAGAATAAATGGGAGGGCAGGATAGGATTAAGGGAAATAGAGTTAGTTTTTCACAACATGTCTACTATGGATGTGTTTTGCATAACTGCACATGTACAACCTATATTGAGTTGCTTGCCTTTTCAATGAGGATGGGTGGGGAGGGAGGAAGAGAGAAAATTTGAAACCTAAAGTTTTAAAAACATATGTTTAAAAAACAGTTTTCACATGCTACTGGGAAATAAGAAATACAGGAAATGGGGTACAGAAGTCTATCCTGCCCTACAGGAAAATAGAAGGGGAAGGGGATAAGAGAAGGGGGAGAGATAGAAGAGCGGACAGACTAGGGGAAGGGATATTCAGAATGTATGCCATCTTGGGGTGGGGGGGGGAGATGGGGTGAAAATTTGGAACTCAAAAACTTGCGCAAGTGAATGTTGAAAACTAAAAATAAATTTTAAAAAATTAAAAAAAAAAGAGTCAAGTGTTCGGTCTGAGGCCAAATTTGAACTCAGGTCCTACTGACTTCAGGGTCAATGCTCTATTCACTGCGCCACCTAGCTGCCCCCTGTTAAACTATTCTTTACAACAATTTAGACACACACAGTCATAGAAAGTACAATCAGTCAGTCAGTCAATAAACATTTGTTAAGTGCCTACTATGGACAATGAGCAGTTGGGTTAATAAGCAGTTGTCTAAGCAAGTTTAATTGGTGTCCCCAGCCACTCATGAGAGCTACCGCTCAGGCATAAAACTAGCCCATCATGTTGGGTTGGGCTGGTGGTAGAGACTGGAGAGGACTAGACAAACACTGCCCGTGTTCCCACTGTGATATGGCTCTGGGGAAGAGACCCTTTTCAGGATCTCGGTCCTGGTCTGGAGGAGAAGGCTGGGTGAGGCCTGCGTCAGACAGGAATTCCAAGGCTGATGGCCAAGGTCTGTCAATGGTCTGACTTAGGAAAAGAAAAGGCAGAGGCAGCTAGGTGGCGCAGTGGATGGCACAGTCCACTGACCCTGGAGTCAGGAGGACCTGAGTTCAAATTCAGTCTCAGACACTTGACAATTCTTAGCTGTGTGACCCTGGCCAAGTCACTTAAACCTGACTGCCTCACTGAAAAAAAAAAAGGCAAGCAGGGGCAGCCTCAGACTCAAGGCCATGGTGAGCCTGCTCTGTTGGTGCTACAACTCCCTTGGGCCTTGTGCTGCAAGGTTTCTATGTGCATGGTGGCGTGGGGTGTGTGATCACTGTGCTTTTTAAAGATCTATCCTTTAGGGGCAGCTGGGTGGCACACTGGATAGAGCACAGGCCATGGAGTCAGGAGGACTTCAGTTCAAATCTAGACTCAGACAAATGACACTTACTAGCTGTGGAACCCTGGGCAAGTCACTTAACCCCATTGCCTAGCAAACCAAAGAAAAAAAAAGATCTATCCTTCAATGTGATAGTTGTAAGTGATGGAATCACTTATGCTAAGGGATCCTAATGACCACAGACAACCTGTACCTTTCCCTTACCCTGACTCCTTCTGCCCTGTGTCAGGCAAAGGAAATGACTGTGGCTTCTGCTCAGACAAGGTTCCTAGCCAGCTGCAGAGGCTGGAAGCCATTGCCCATTCCTGGGCCCTCAATGACGAATTCAAACTTTCACTGACCTTCAGGTCCTCAGCAGCAGCCTCTAAAATCTCCCATCTGGATCTGATATTGATAATGAATTTCCCCATCCCATCTACATCTAGTTAGGAATGCCCTTTTCCCTCTGTCTGGCATCCATTTCCTCTTCATAAAAAAGCACACATTAAAGGTATAAAATTTCCCGGATCAGGGGCCAACAGGTAAGATCTTTGGTACATCCCTCCCTACTCAGTGAGTGACCCTGGCCCTCTGTGTATGAGTGTGTGTGTATACGTGTGTGAATGTGTGTGTACATTTGACCATGTGTATCTGAATGTGTTTGTGTAAATGTATGTGTGCCCATGTAAGTATATGTTTGAGGGTGTGTGCATATGAATATTTCAGTGTGAGTTTGTTGCCCAGGCCTCTTCTTTTTCACCATTGTTAATGTCTGTAGCCTTTGCCCCTTGCTCTCCTCTGCGACCACCACAACATTGGTACAATGCCTCACCTAGGGCAAGAGACTCCCTTCTACTGGTCTCTCCCTACTCTACCCATTCCCCATTGTGATGTAAAAGTGATTTTCCAAAAAAGAAGATCTGAAGATGTTGCCCCCCTACTCAGTAAACTTCAATGGATCCCTAAGACCTGGCACATACTATGTTCTTATTAAATGTGGATTGACTGCATAATTACCAGTTCTCTATTCCCTCTCTTCTTTCCCCCTAAAATACTCAGTGGAAGCTGCTACCTTTAGCTGGCAGGTGGGAGGGGGGAGACACTGCCTGAACCTCAAGGCCAGGGAAAAGATGTATAAAAGTCACACCGACTGGATAAGCAAGGAGTGGCCAGTGAGGGCCTCTGGGTGAGCAGAGTGAGTCAAGAAATGTTTCCAACTACCTGGGGGGCCCTTTGCTGGCCTTTGGGAAAGTCAGCTCAGGCAAAAAAGTGGCACACGTGGTTGGGCTGAGCTGTCAGTGACACCTGTAAAGGCCTGGAAATACCATGCTGGGGTATGTGTGTGTGTGTGTGTGTGTGTGTGTGTGTGTGTGTGTGTAAAGCTTTTAGCATCACTGTACAGTGAAGTGGGTCAAGGATCACTTAGGCCTATGACCAAGGTCAATGTGGCTTCTTCTGCCCTAGGATCTCTATGTGCAAAGCCAAGAGCTAGATGGCCTCTAAGGTCCCTGCCAACTCCAGGTCTCTGATGCCTGAGGAGGCCCTGTCTAGTCCCTTCCTCTTGGGCCCAGAAGGGCTGCTAGCAGGTGTGAGGGGGAAGCAGGACTGAGATTCACCACTAGCCCTGAAGACATTTTATGAGCTCCTGGGCACTACTTGAACTATGCAGCTTGTGGGGCCTCCAGGAGAGAAAGTGAAGAAGGCAGCCACCTCCCACTAGGAGTGAGAACAGGAGATTGCTCAGTAGGGCACTGGATGTCATCCCCACCGTTGGGACATCTGGCCCTCAGGTAGAAGCCTCTGAAACAAGGTTGAATGGCCTTAAGAGAAACTCTGCAGACACTTCAGCCCAGGCCCTGCCCAAGTGGGGATCATGAGCTTCCCTCTGTGGACACTGAGATGGTCATTGTGCTTTCCCGAGTCAGAATGTGAGCTCCTTGAGGGCACAGCTGCAGGACTTAGCATTTCTGCTTGCTGACTTGACTTGGCCTGGACCCAGGAGCTGGTGCTGCTTATTGGGACCAACGTGGACAACTAGCCTCATCACTTTGAGAGAATGGAGCATCCTGCTCCCCTCAACCCCATTTCTAAGCCCATCCCCTCTGTGGGAGGCCCATGTCTCACTGGGACAGAGTGGATCAGGGCAAAAGTGAAGTCTATTTTTCATTGATTACAAACTGGGTGAGCTCCTGGGTCTACTGCAATTTCCAGAACTAAGAAAGAAGACACATACTTTTTGAGGGCAAGTAAGATCTCTTTCTTTTAAACACTTACAAAACAACTGTGAAGGAGCAATATTTCTAGACAACTGTCAAAATAGAAGAGTATGTTTATCTTTTCACCTAAATGGAATCAACACAGAAGACAGCCAAACCCCGGTTCAGTAACTGGCCACAGAGAGACACCTTAGGATGAGCAGTCACATTTCAAGAAGGGGTGGATAACCAGCCCCCCTGGACCAGAGATCTAAATATAACACCCCCCCCCCCCCGCCGTTCGAGCCCCCCTCCCACCCAAGCACCCACAACCAATGAAGATCTTTGATGACAGAACATTAGCACAGGTGCTGAGGATGGATGCGAAAGACTGCAGAGAACCTGGCTAACAATGCAGATTTCACCTGGGCACTACAAAGCTGCTCCGCAAGGAGGAAAGGGGCTTCCTCAGTGGAAGCAGTCACCAGCAAACTTAGAGGAAAAACATAGACCCTGAAGTAACACAAGCACAGTGGTAGGAATCATTTCTGTCAGATCCAGACCAATCACTAGGCAGATCTGCTGGGAGAAAAGCAAATCTGACAAGAGAGGAGCAAAGATTACCATGCTCTCAACGCGCTTTCTGCTGGTACTCAGCAGAGGCCACCTTGTAGTCAGTGGCGACCTTAAACAGCAGAGAAGGATCGCTGGCAAAATATTTGAGGAAATTTTGCAAATGGCTCCGCAGCACACGCAGACTACCAGCCCCCAAGGGAGCACAGGCCAGCATGGGCCCCAGCTGTGGGAAGAGGCGCAGCAGGTGGGCACCCCCATAGATGTGGGACATGTGGGCCCGGGGATGGCGGGCCAGCATCTCGCAGTGCTGCAGCTTCTCGAACTGGTAGAGAAGCTGGGTGCCTAGCACCTTGTCAAAAAACTCTTGCAGTGCAGCCACCAGTTCACCAATGGCATATGTCTTGAATGCAGTTGTGCAGTTTTGCTGGGAGGCGATGTAGTCTGCCAGGATGGCATTCACCGGCTTCTTGGCAGGTAGGGTGAAAAGCTTCTTCTTGACAGTTACCAGCTTCCAATCTTGCAGGAGCAGGGGCTTCAGGGCCTTGGGCAAGCGGATGTGGACTTCCAGCTTGCCTAGGCACCTGTGTTCAGGCTTCCCTGCAGCTACTTTCCCTTTCCATCGCCCTCTTCCACTTGAGGGCCCACCAGATTTTTGCTTGTGTTTGCAGGGCAGCTGCACCTCTGGGGCCCCAGAAGGGCAGCCTTCAGACCCTTGGTCACCCTGGGCCCCAGAGGAGGCAGCAGGGCGCTCCCTGGGCAGCAGGCCCTTGGCAGCCATCTGGAGGGCGGCATTGCTGTCCTTCTGCCAGTGCATGGTGGTGTAGCACAGAACCCGGCCCTCTGGGACCCATTCATACTCCCATTCAGGAGCTACTGGGCAGCGATACCCAGTAGAGAACATGCTGCTGCTGCTGGTGCTAGGCCTGGCTTCCCCTGCTACTAGGCTGAGGGACCTCTTGGACCTGTCCTTGCTGGGACCCCCCCGGGGGCATGGCTATGCCTAGGTGGCTGCTGCTCCTGCGGAGGCTGTACCAGGACCTTGGGCCACTTGGGGTGGGTCCTGGCTTGGGGGCTGGTGGGGCCCACGCAAAGAGATAGCTCATAGACACTCTCAGGGATGCGCTGATGCCAAGACTCTTAGTTGGGTAACGCACCAGGTATTTCACTCGTTTGTCCAGCACATCCCTCCGAATGCACTCACCCTTGCGCATCCTACCCTCGTGGAAGGTCAGCACAGGCTGCCCATCTAGAACAGCGGGCTGATTCTGGACCTTGCTCCCCTTGGCAGGGGCCATTGATCAGTAGGATGGAACCTGGGGCACCTCTTCAGACTATTTCTGCTTCACCGCTGGGCTGGCCAAATGGCTATGGCTTCCCTAATCTTTGGCTAGAGCAAGCAGGCAGCTGCAGACTACCTGCACGGCAGGATGGCAGGATGGCAGGACGGCTGGACGGCTGGACGGCTGGACGGCTGGACGGTAGGACGACTGGCTGGAGTGCTGGACGCCTGGCTAGACCACTGGCTGGAGGGCTGGAAGGCTGGCTGGACGGCCGGCTGCACGGCTGGACGCCTGGTTGGACGGCTGAACAGCTGGCTGGACGGCAGGACAGTAGGACGGCTGGCTGGAGTGCTGGACGCCTGGCTTGACCACTGGATGGAGGGCTGGACGCATGGCTGGACGGCTGGCTGGACGGCTGGACTCCAGGGAACTCTCTGGACTCGTCACCTTAGGGAAAAGCCGCCGCCTCCCTCCCTCCCCTCAGCAAAGCCCCAGGGCTGGGACTGGATGGCGCAGGCGCGCTGGCAGAGAATTGTAGCAAAGTTGCAGCCTAAAGGCAACGCAGCCTGGGGGAAAAGGCGGGCCAGGCTGGGGAGGGTGGGGTGGGGAAGAGGGATTACTGACCTGACCCTCCCCTTTCAGGCCACGAGTCTGGATCTGGGTTCCAATGTCAACCTCACCACGTTTCGGCAGTAGAGTCTTGGATAAGTCTTTTCCCCAGCCGCGGGCTTCAGGTTGTAGATGTGTCCAACAACCACCTAATGACCAGCAAGGAGAGTTTTCAAACTTGAAGTTGGGTTTCATTTCTCCTCTGGGTGGGGGACAGCAGCATCGGCCCAGAGTCCACTGTCTCTCCCGCTCCCTGCTATCCCCGCCCTCAGCGTTTTAACGCTTTTCTCTGGAGCCTAGGCGCCAGGGCCTTCAGAATCTCGGAGAACAATAGATGTGTTTTCAATTCTTGAGAAAATCAAGGCGGTAATGACATTCTTTCCCGAAAGTAGTTTGGGGGACAATAATAACAACTTGGTGAGCTGATAAAGTCACCTTGTGGCATGGCTCTGGGAATCCCCACCCCCCGTTATTTTCCTTTGGGATGCAGTGTGCATATTATGTTAACATTTGACCGAGATTGGATTTCAGCATTAGGGGGCTCATTAGTGTAATTTTAAGTTTTTACACTATGAAAGAGTACACAACTGATTCTTATGTCCTATCCCATGATAAATGAAAAGTTATCCAGTGGACCGGACCTGTGTCTTACACAGAACAACAGAAATGCATAACAGCTATGAAAAGAAAATTCACTTCACCCTAAAAATGCCAACAGTATTTAAAGTGCTTTGTGAGACTGAAAGTTACATATAAAAGTATTTCATTGTTGTACTACTCTTTCTGACGGCATTTGTGTTTGTTTGTTTGTTTGTTTGTTTGTTTTTCCTGGCTGGAATGATTTGCCACTTCTTTCTCCAGCTCATTTTACAGATGAGGAACTGAGGCAAACAGGGTTAAATCACTCTCCCAGGGTCACACAGCTAGCAAGTGGTAAGTGTCTGAGGCTTGTCTTGAACTCAGGTCTTCCTCACTCCAGGGCCCAACTGTATGCAGCAGCCACCACCTAACTGCCCTCTATCAAAATACTACCTGTCGTTATTTTCCTCTCCCTTCTTTCATTTTTCTATGTGTCTTGTCTCCATTAATTAAATTTCTGCTTTTCCCCCTTTGTCCCTCCCCTATCTTTCTCCCTCCTCTCTCCGTGCAGTCTCCTTTCTCCTCTCCTCTCCCTGTGCCCTACTCTCTCTCTCTCTCTCTCTCTTCTCTCTCTCTCTGTTTCTCTCTCTGTCTCTGTCTCTCTGTCCTTGTTCTCTTTCCCTGTGTCTTTCCTCTCCTCTCCATTAGACCCCTTCTCTGTGTCTCTTGCTTCCCTCCAACCTTCCGTTCTCCCCTCTCTGTGCTCCCTACCTTTTCTCTGTCTTTCCTTTCTTCTCTCCTTGGGTCTCATTCCCTCTTTGTGTCTCTCTCCTGTTCATGTGCCCATTTCTCTCTCTGTGTCTGTCTCTAGTCTGTCTCTCTCCTCTTTTTCATGTGCCCCCTTCAGTCTCTCTGTCTCTCCTGTCTCTTCTCCATGTGCCCACTTCCATTTCCCCGAGTCTCTGTTCTCTCTCCATGTCTCTCTCCTCTCCTTCCCATGAGCCCCCTTCAGTCTACCTCTACTCTCTTTACATCTCTTATGTTTCTTCTTCATGTACCTCCTTCACTGTGTTACTCCTCTCTCCTCTGCATGTATTTGCTTCATTCTCTCTGTACCCTTTATCCTCTCTGTGCCTCTCCCCTGTCTCTGTCTGTTCCCTCTGCTCTGTGCTCCCTTAGCTCCCACTGCCTCTCTTCTCTCTCCAAGGCTTTTCTCTCTCTATGCCCCTTCCCTCTCTCCCTGTCTCTCCCTCTCCTGTATATGTGCTCCCTCCCCACTCCTCTCTATGCCCCTTTCCTCTTTGTTTCTCCACTCTCCTCTCTCCCTGTCCCATTCCACTCTCACTTGTATCTGTGGCCCCTCACATCCTTTTATTTGTCTCTCCTCACTTCTGTCTTTAAAGTTTTTGCATTTCATTGGTTTGTCTTTCCTTTTTCCTTTCCTTTCATTGACGAACCTTGTGCTGACCTTGGAAACATCTATGGATCTGCGCGACCTCAGGAAGCTTCCCTTGGAACAAAGGGAACCCTTCCAAGTAGATTGCATTGGTCTCTGTCTGAAAGTCCTTTCTTTCACATGTTACCCCTTCCTGAGCTCCTCTATTTTTAAAAAACGAGCAGAAATCTTTTTATTTTCTCTCCCTCCTACCTCTTATCTCATTGGAACAAAAGAAAAGTGAATTTCTTCTAAGAGGTAGGCAGAATCGAGGAAGCACTTCCCCTGTAGTTTTCTTCGGAGATGTCCATCTCCTTGTGCAGCCAAACTCCGTCCCCTCTCTATTCTCTTCTAGCTTCTTCAAAGTCATGTCTTTAGACGTCTTCCCTACTGTTTGTTGAAGGAATCACTTCTTTTCCTCCTCCTTGTTTTCTACTTTCTTCAAACCTTACTTTGGGGCCTTTCTCGTGTGAGATGTCATTGCCCTCTGTATCTGCATTGGGATCCTATATTTTGTCAATAAATCCCCCTTTCCTTTCCTTTTTCTAAGCAAATGCATTTACTAAAATGGCATAGCATTGGCATGTCTAAGCCATTTTTTTCCCTAGGGGAGAGAGATATCTGAAATGGTGTAGCATTATCCCCCATTCCCTCCAATATAACTCTGCCCTAAGACAATTTCAGGTAATGTTTATAGGAATCTGGATCAAGGAAAAGATATGGTTAAAAAACTTGATCCAGATTCCTATAAACAGTCTTGCTGCAGTGAAAAAATAAAATACAGTCTAGCTTCATATTCAGGAATGATTGAGTAACCAAATCACTCCCATTTCTCCTATACCATTCCCCTAGCCCCTGGAGTTTGACAGAGGGCTGGTCTCCCTTTCATTGATATCTTCATCCCTTCTCAGTAGAAAAGGCTGCAGGTCAGGTGAGTTTGGAGGCGATGATTGAATATGACCAGAGTTCAGGTAGTTATCACTCCATATCCATTCAGCTAATAGAAAGCCTTTTTTCCCTTTTGTCTTAACCTAAAATTCGTATTTCCAAGGGATTTTCCCCAAGAGTCTAGAAAGGGCTGTAGCATAAAATATTATTCCTTAATATTTTCAGTTTTACCATAACTAAAGTTTTAAATATGCTTCCAAATTCTTATCAGTGTGAATCCTCCATTTAACCAGTCAATGTTACAATCTCCCAGGGCTTCTTATCCTATACAATTCTTGTCCTTGTACTCCCATAAATGCTCCTGTGATCAGTGGTGTGGCATAGAATACAGCGTGTGTGCACTGCCCCTGGAGGCAAGGGACCTTCGTTGTAATCCCACCCCTGCCATCTCCTACCTGCATGACATTGGGCAAGTCCCTTTATACCCCTGGGCCTCAGTTTCCTCATCTGTAAAGTGAATGTGTTGTTATAGATGCCCTTTGAGGTTCCTTCCAGTTCTGCATCATATGAATGTTTGAGGTGGGGGTGGGAGGAAAGATGGCTTAGCACAGTATGTGCTCCTGTGTATGCCTTCCAGTGTATTGTTCTGGGAGGAATCCAACCTCTGCCACGAACTTACCGTATGGCTTTGGGAAAAGCCACATCCCGTCTCTGGGCTCACTCAGCTTCCTCAGAGGTAAGAATCATGTGGGTGAAAGGACAGGAGACAACTAGTCAGAAGGTCTCCAAGGTGGAATCCTAGCATTGTCAAATACCAGTTATGTCACCATGACTTAGTTACTTCAGTCTTGTGGGGCAGATCTCAGCTTCTTCATCCTTTAAACGAGCAGATTGGCCTTAACCCCAGAGCACCCTTTCAGCTCTGATGTTCCATGGTTCCAAATCCTCTTTCCTCATGGTTCCATGATTCTTCAATGGTCCTACATGGTCCCTCACCTGGTGATGGGCCAACCACAGGGCTACTAATGAAAGCATCTGCCTTGTGGGATTTGGGTCAGCCCTTGGTCTGGAGGGCAAAAAGTAGCAGCCAAAAAGGATCCTGAACCCTGTCAGGGCCTGGAAAAAGCTGGGTCGGGGCCCTGATCATCTCCTTCCCCAAAATGTCCACCATGTTTCCTGTCCTTCTGCTTGAAAGCCTGGTTCCTGTTTCCTTGGGATTCCAGGGTGTTGGTCTGCTGTCTACTGTACCCTCCTTAAGCCAATATTGAAACCTAGATCCCACTGGAACAAAGGACCTTTGCAGGGTCACTGCACTCCCATCTCCTATTTGCTCAAATCATTCATCTTTCATCCTTGGAATGAGAAGCAATTTGGTTTAGTGGACAGAGCAGGGGACTTGAAATTAGGAAGACCTTGGTTCAAATCCTAACTCGGACAGTTATTAAATGAGATAACAAAAGTAAAGTACTTTGCAAACATTAATGCACTCTAGAAACACTCGCTATTATTATTATTACTCTTATGACTCTGGGCAAGAAGAAATTCACCTTTCTGGGACTCAGTTTGCTCCTCTGTAAAATGAGGAGGTTGGGTTAGATAGCCTCAGAGAGTTAGACAGGGGACCCATCTAGAGAATTGTGGAACAAAAGAAAGGAGGAATCAGCAGAGGAGAGAGACAAAAATATGATGGGGGTATATTGGAAAATAGAGGGATACAAAGAGATCATTAAAAAGGGGGAAAGGACCCACATGTACAAAAATATCTGTAGCAGCTCTTTTTGTGGGGGCAAAGAATTGGAAATTGAGAGGATGCCCATCAATTGGGGAATGGCTGAGCAAGTTGTGGTATATGAATGTAATGGAATACTATTGTGCTATAAGAAATGATGAAC